GGTAAGACATCTAGAAACTAGGAAAGGAGAGACGGTCCTGGCTTGCTTTTCAGTTTTTTCACAGTGGATAACATGAAAGTGAGGATATGTTTCTTTTGGCTGGTTGAAAAAATTTATATCATCCGTGCATACCCGCTTTAAGCCGGTACGATCAGACAGTAGGGGGAATGCCCTATGCATGCCTGTCTTATTTTTGTTCAGCAGCGTTGGCGGCCACCCACCACGGAGCCCAACGAGGGGACGCTACAAGTTTGCGGATGCTGAAACCTGCAGACGCCAGCCGTACAACGCCACTATAACCCAATGCGCCTAGACCAAGGTAGGCTATTTGCACAAGGTTAACCCTAGCCGCCAGGAAGTTTGGAAGTAAACGGAAGAGAGTAGAAGACAGGACAGATAAATAGTAAGAGATAAAGACCAAGATGTAGGGAGAGAGAGATAGGAAAAGGCGACTGCCGATTTCCCCTGGGTGGGTCAGCCCAGGGGTGCCGTCTAGGTGAAGCTGGGGCCAAAGGGGTGTGTTGCCTCTGCCGGGGGGGGGCCTTAACAGTCCAATCACCCAGCGTCGGCTCAACCCCCAGGATCCCCTTTTCCCCGGACACGGCAAAGCCACACACGGCTAGGCGTGGGAGGGAGTAGAAACTTCCCCGTTAGCTCGGGTCCGTGGTGTCGCTACACACCAAACACCTACTTGCGCAGGCGCCCCTGCGGGGCACGGAGGATCTACTTGCCACTCAATCACCATGCCTGCCTATATATATATATATATATATATATATATATATATATATATATATATAGACACACACACACACACACACAGTGGAATCTCATTAATTCGAACACGCTTAATTCGAACTCACGGTGAGGTCCCATCAAAGCTATGTGTATTCCAATGGGCGAAAACGCCCATTGAATTAGAACGCGCAAGCACTTGCGACGGTTAATTCGAACATACTCCACTCCGAAAATGCTCTCAGCACATCGCCCGATCCCACGGCGGCACCTGCGACACCTCAATGCTGCGTGCGAAGGAAATGAAAAGGTAAGAAAAGGCTGCAGTGGAATGTTTGCTCTCTCTCTCAAACGCCGATCTGCAACGCGCCCATGTCACGCTTCTTTTTCTGTCCCTGCCACGTAAAGACCCTTCTCCTTCCAATGCCGTGCCCGAAGAGAGAGAGGAAAAAAAAAGAGAAAGCTGGGTTGAATGAATGTGTGGTTGAAGGAAAGAAAAAGGGCACTATCTTCTGCAGTCCTTGCCCCTTGCGGGGGCGCGGCTCTGCGTTTTTTGAGGGGGAGTCTCACGCGCCGGTGCCACGCTTCCCCTTTTCCCTTCCCTGCCACATAACCCTTCTCCTTTCAACGACGCGCGCAAAGAGGGAAAAATAAAAAGGCTGCCGTGGAGTTTTGGTTTTATCTCAAAATGCCGATCTGCTTCTCTCCGCGTGGAGACGATCCTCCTTTCTCGTCACATTTTGGCCATGCTACGGCTCTTATCCGCTAGCAGTCGTTGCTCTCGTCCTCTTTAGAAAGTGGCGGCGCCGGGGGGGGGGGGGGGGGTTGAGAGGAAGAGCCGGGACGGACGTAGGAATGGTGATGAGTTGGTGAGTTACTTGAGACTCTGGGACAAAGTGCTTCGCGCCGCGTCTCCCTATCTAACGACGGCACATTTTCGCACGCAACTTCTCTTGCCAGGAGAATGCTGAAGCCAAAGTAGAAATGCTTTGCAAGCTGCGTGCAAAATTGATTGACTCGCTGCAAGGCAAACGTGTGCAGACGCGCATCACTGATTACTTCAATTAATAACGGATGTCCTGTGATTTGTGAATAAATGTAAGTATTCTGAAACTTCCCCTTCGTGTGTTAGCTCAATGCACATGCGCCACTGAACAGAGAGCCCTCCGTTTATTTAGCTTTTATTATTTCGAACTTCTTTTATTTCGAACAAATTTTCGGGCCCCTTCGAGTTCGACTTATCGAGATTCGACTGCATGTATGTATGTATGTATGTATGTATGTATGTATGTATGTATGTGTGTGTGTATATATATATATATATATATATATATATATATATATATATATATAAACTTCCAAGATTTTCACCACCTCACCACCTCGGCAGACGCAATAACTCTTTACAGCACTTCTACGTATCTTCGGTAAAAATATATTTTGAAATCAGATAGAAAAAGAGCTACAGACACTACAAATACGCTTTTAAAAAAACTTATTTTGTTCCCCATTGAGAATAAATTTGTATATGATTCATGATTCTCTCTGGTTATAACAAACCCATTCAGTGTTTCCATATAAGCCTGTCATAACAGTACTCTGATTTCACATACTCCCTTTACAACAGACCAAAATCCTCTTCACTATGGAGGTCTGTTGTAATGAGGTCATACTGTACTGCCATAGCTCTTACCAGCACTGTGCGTGCAAGCGAAGCCTCGCCATGTCATTATATTACGCTACATAACACCTGATATGTCGCGTGCAAAGCTGACGCATGACTAATTTCCTGAAGGCCTCATGCAGCCCAAGCAACGAATGCGAATTAGGATGAACTACTGGACACAAAAGTACAAAGAAATGCCATACATTACTAGATACAAAACGTGCTTTTCAACGCCCCTACGTATTACTTGTGTGCACAGCAAGGGCTTTCCTAACAGATGTCAAATAAAAATGCTATGATTTACTAAAATTAAGCAGACAGAATGACAAGTAATGTTCACAAACATCAAAGTCGCTGCCTATGCTTCGAGCTGAACACCGACCAGCCGGACAAATAGCTTTTCCAAAACAATTTCACGTGTCTGTGCTACGTCGCAGTCAAAAAATTTTCATAAATTTAAATCGTTTCTTTTTGATCGACAATTCAGGCGCCTGCTCAGCGTGCATTCGAAGTGTCGGTTGCACGGCTGATAGCGGGCAAAAGTCGACGAGGGCCAAGGCCTGCGCGCCGTCAATTCCGCAGGGAACCGACTGCGAGCGCTGTGCCGACGAACTGCCATGCATGCCGAAGGGCGCATTAGCAGTCGGAGGTGCTTGTGCGTAACGTTCGGGTAGGGCAAGAGGCCCATTCCGAAGCGACGCGCCATCTCCAAAGGGAGCGGCTAGGCGCCTCGTGTCGTCACCGCAATAGGGGGTGCCGACACGGACGGGTGCAGAAGGGTTCCCGTCAATAGAGGCAATGGTCTTCTTGTGCAACGCGGCATCCGCTAAAAGGGACAGCGGACAAAAATCCCGCGAAGCAGCCATGTTACGACGAGCCTGAATCGCGCAGGCGAACCGACTCGCTAAGAGCAGTCAAAAGCTAAAGCTTTTGATACCGCGTTGGGCGCCAGTGTGGTGTACACGTATCCCGAAGGAGTACGGCCACCAGCGTGGGTCCGGTCTTAGCGAGCCGCAGGGCACGCGTTAACCGTCGCCGTGGTGAGAACACGATACTGCTCAAAGTCGCAACACTTTATTGTGGCAACACCAAACGCAGTACAGCCCAGTACAGCCCGTTGCAAAGGCGCGGCGGGAAAGCAAATAGGCTTATCTACGCCACGGGAATAAAAGTGCTACACAGGGTGCCACGAGCACGTCTCCACGGTAAAGGTGATCCACAGAGACACCGGACCAAGGCCCGGTTGCTTGAGCGAGGGCGAAGGCGCTCGCGTTGGCTTCGGAGGGAGACGGGTCGGCGTAGCTAGGCCACGCACTAGGACACCGTACCACCCCTCGGCCGTGCGTACGCAGCGGGGCAACAAAAGGTGAGTGTTCGCCTCGGGCGCGAGGCGCCGTCAGCGAAGTCCGACGAGCCCCGAGCGACGGGAGTCGACGAACGAAAAGATTGCGTGGCTCACCGTTTGCTGTCCCGGAGAGTATCTGTCTGCCCGCTCCCGACGCAGCGCGCGAAAACCTCTCGGGAGGCTCCACACGCGGCGCCACAGTCAACATCCGCTACCAAGTGAGGGAGTTAAACATCACTCTGCCCTTCCCAGCGCGGCAGACAGCAAAGGAGGGCAGACATGTCAGGACATGAGAACGGCAGAAAAGGCGGCAAAGCCCGCGCAAAGACAGCGGGCTAGCCCCAATTCCCACAACTATTAACATTTTGGAAGCCTACCTGTTTTATCAAACATCTCACCTTCACATATACGCACTTGCAACATACAATGCAGGTGTAGCTGGCGCAGACATGACTATTCGCAGCGCGCCAGTTGATAAACTGAAGGGCCCGCATGTCACCATTTGTGGCGCATTGGTGCAGAGGACTGCTGCCTTATCAGTAGGAGCTGCCCGTTTCCCACACACTTACCTTCCTCCCTTCACTATCGGTCACACAATATTGATTGTGAAAGAGAACAGCAGTGTTGCGCCATCTTGATCACCATGAATAAAGATAATGTTGTGTTCTGCTGCTGCATGCACGACAGTATGAAAAAACGTGTACTGTGCGCATGCACACATGGTGTTGCCTGTTCTGCCTGGCTTGACCAATATGGCACCACCGATTGCTACAATGCCACTAGATGGCGCAGCTAATTTCGCATAAGGTCTATCGATGAGCCTAAAATGGTTACGGTGGTGAAGTGTAACTGCGAAACACTTGCTGCAATTCGTCTTGTGACAAAGCGGCTACAGGCCAAATGGATCCGAAAGAACAAAGTTTAAACAAGTTCGTGAGCTACCCATCATTCTCATGCTGGCTGAAGTGCCGTGTGTCGCAGCTTCCATTGACACTACCGCCAGAGTTCCATCTAATGTATAAACAGAAAACTATGAAAAAAATTCTTTAGCGATTATTTTCCCTACTTCCTCGCCTCGTCTGATGCTAATTTCACAATAAACGCACTCGTAGTTCCCTTTCATAAATTAGAGAAAGTGCCTTCTTCTTGACTGTTTCAGTGTCTTCAGGATTAACAGATTATATAGTCGCACTTCTGTTGAACAAGCACCCTCATAGTTGCCTTCTTGCAGATAAAAAAAAATTATAAACTCACTTCAATTTTCCTCTCCAAGACCACCTTGTTTTTTGCATCTCGCTGTGTGTCCTCTTGAAGCTTGTCTATCTGCAAAATAAAATCAGCCACTTAAACATTTGCCCATACTCTAGATCTAAAGTGCTTCTTTGATATGTAGATTCTAATCCAGTCCACATAATCATGAGTAACCAGGGCACTAACAGTGTCAACTTTGGTGGTCACTATTGCGGCTGGACAGTAATACATGCAGTTAAACATAGATATAAAGAAAATGATAAATTCCCAGACAAACTCGTTAAAAAGAGGATTTCATTATATGTAGGTTTGGTACAAAAATTCAGAAAATAAACACACAAATTAAATTACAGGGGAACTGAATGCAGAGCTGAGCCAAACACGTATTTAGCGGTAAAAAACTGCTTTAATGTTGCGATAGCAATAATGTGAGCATTATCGCCGGTTTTCGCCGTCGCCGCTATGTTCCGTAACAAAACCAGAAGGAGAATATATCCCCGTACATCGTAAATTTTACGAACAGGTAAAAGCGCGCAAGTGCTGCTGAAGCAGAAATCAAATGAACCGTCCTTCTCTCTCGCCTGGAGGGCGCATACGATACATGCACACACACACAACCCATTTTAGAAATGCTGTCAAATGCTCATACAGAAAGGAAACCACCCGCCTTGAGCAAGCATGAAAAAATGCAGGGGGAGGGAGGGGGTCACTCATTTGCATTACTTGTGTCCATGTGCTTCGAGTTGTCGATGAATTCGCCCTCGCGCTGTCAACTGCTAGCTCAGTTGGCAGAGTCGGCAGAGCGACCTCCCCGGATAGGCGTTGGTCCCGGATTCGAACCCCAATTCAGAACGAATTTTTCTGCAACTAAGAGGCTTTTCTTTCTGAGCAATCTGTACAGATTTCCCTCTGGCTTCCCGCTACGTAACGTACATGTGGTTGTCTTCCTTCCCTTTTTTTAACTTTAACCCTTCTACAACCATGAGAGTTTCTGCAGAACTGATTTGCATGTGGGGTTTAACGTCCCAAAACCACCATATGATTATGAGCGACGCCATAGTAGAGGGCTCCGGAAATTTCGACCACCTGGGGTTGTTTAATGTGCACCCCAATCTGAGCACACGGGCCTACAGCACCTTCACCTTTATCGAAAATGCAGCCGCTGAAGCCAGTATTCGATCCAGCAACCTGAGAGTCAGCAGCTGAGTACTTTAGTTACTAGACCACAGTGTCGGGGCTGCATGAAGTCTCATGTACAGTGGTCCCTAATTATAATGAACTCATTTCTCTTGAAATATCACTTTATTGGGAAGTTCTTTGTGTCCTGAGCTAAACACATGCACATCATTGCCTGGTCATTGTATTTGCCCTTTGGACTAGCCAGAGCTGATTCGCAAAAGCCGAGCTGGACAGCAGTGACTCGCATTCTTTTTCTGTATTGTTATTATGTCGTGTCAAGCACAGAAAATAAACCTTCACCCTGATTTGCTTGATACATAAAATACTCGAAAGTTGCTGATGACTAGAGACCGGGTTATAGGCAAATGCCTTTTGTTCTTTGCGTTCCTATCGTGCCAGTTTGATATATGAGATCATACGAATTAGAGGTTAAGAAGGGCTTTTATAGTGCCTATAAATGGCTGTTTTAGGTGTCGTGCCTCAATGTTTATAAGTGCCTATAAATGCCTATTTTCCAAATCGGCGCCTATATGACCACTACTTAAGCCCAAATTTTCTTTGACTTTCTGCCAAACCGCTAACCGCAATGAAATGGCACTCAGTGGCCACCATATGCGAGCAATTGGAGATGGAGCATAAGGAGTGCAAAAGACGCTATTTCTGCAGCCCTAAGTGGACGCAGCGTCTGCAGGGAGGAGATTAGGAGATATACAGTCGAGCCCGCTTATAACGAACCTGAGCGTGACGCGGCATTTGTTCACGTTATCCCGAAGTTCGTAGTAAATGAAACACAGCTTTTAAAAAAAGTTGTGAGTGAAAACACACTTTTTTTTGCCTCTCAAAAGTTCTTGATGCACGTGTTTCGAAGGGCAGAAGCAATAAGGGCGATCTCGAGGTTATTTTTAACGGCAGGGTGCTCGTTCGCCAAGGCCCGTGGCATATGCTGCATGAGGCACTGGCTCCAAAGCTTCGTCGTTCTAGCAATCCAATTCCTTCAAATCGCTCTTGCCGCGTACTACATTAAACCCTAATCCGTGCCCGGTTCCGCAGTGTTGGCATCATCATCGGCCGTAATGAAACCATCACAACAGATGTCCCACCCACTCTCCCATGTCGGAGTCGACGACGCGCTGCCACAAATCACCACCGCAGTGGCGCTGTTTGAATGCTTCAGCCTCAACATCGGGCCCGACGTCAACGAAGTCGGCCTTGCGAAAACAGTTTCGCGCACATGTAGCTGTCACCGCGGCCCGTGAAAACATACATTGGTTCAATGGCACAAAACGTCTCCGAGCGCCACTGATCAGTTACAGCAAATGAAGTCAGCTGTCTGCCGACTTCCCGGGAAACCAATTTCGACCATGGATCACGCATTGGCGAGGTGCCATACATTCTTATTGTTAAACGCCGACCCTGCCTCCGCGACTCTCTAGTTGCCGCTCTCGAGCCCCCACCCAAAAAAAGCTGTTTCCTTCCTCCATGCCCCAGCTGCTTTTTGTTACGCGCCCCTCCGTCCTTTGTCCCCTTGCTACTCTGAGCACCCTGCATCGCCAGCACCACTGCCACCGATCTTTCGAAGACCGATCGGCCATCTACCCTGTTTTTGATTGCTGGTACTGTCGTTGGCGTCGATGGCCTGGAGTGACCAGACCATTTGCCAACATCGTCGGCCACTGACTGTATCCGATCGTCTGCATCTAGTGCAGTTGGGTATGCTACCCCACCGACTCTGATAATTTGTAATTCGTTTTGTGTTTAGGACTTGTTCTCGCTCACTTCGCCCTCAGCTCAGCGTGCCCTCCGCACGCGTTCAGAAGCACGAAAACGGCTGTTAATTTGCGCGGAACAAACCAAGAAATATCGAAGCTGGTGAGGCCACGCAAACCTGCCGGTGCCACAAAACGATTTTTTGACCACGGCCGCCGATTCTTTGAACACCGCGGCACGCACCGATCCAGGTGAACGTGCTTTGACTACTACGCACGCAGGCACTCTTTCATGTTTTTCTACGTGGGAGTTGCGCGTTTTGCGAACCTTTCAAGCAAGCTACCCAACCTGCCTCCTTCCCGTGTGTTTTGGTTTTCAAGGTCGCCCTTCCGCTGGGTCCTCCTCTCCCTTCACTCTATCGCAACTTCTTGCCCTTCTCTCGCAAAACTGCTCTCCTCTCTAGATCAGAACTCCTTCGCCCATCTCCATTGCTCCGCGACACCAGCCACGCTGGCTCGAATTCAGAAGCTTTGTTTTCTGACTAGAAACAGGCCCACAGCTGTTCCACGCATTCTGGTATGTGAGTCGCGTATGCACGTCTTGCTCGCTTTTGGTGTGTGTGTGTGTGTGTGGCCAGGATGGCGGACGGGAGGCCTTGCACGCTTTTTCCTGCCGCTCAACAAAACATCGAAAGTGTGACCGCTTGGCTTGAGCGTAATCCATGCGTTAGGTGCCGCATTTCGGTGCACTTGCTCATAGATGTTGACCACCTGGCAGCCAACATGCCGCTTCGGGCGTCCCGGTATTCAGCTGTGGAGATAGTGAATATTTCGTGGGCGGTGGTGATGGCTACATGCATGAGAAACTGCTTTCGCGAGGCCGACTTCGTCGACGTCGGGCCCGATGCCAAGCCCGAAGCTTCCGAACTGCGGTGGGGATTTGTGGCAGCGCGTCGCCGACTCTGACCTGGGAAAGCGGGTAGGAAATCTGTAGCAATGGTTTAATTACGGCCGACGATGATGCCGACACTGCGGAACCGTGCACGGATTGAGACATTGTGAATGAAGTACGTGGCGAGAGCGATTTGGAGGAATCGGATTGCATGAACGACGAAACTTTGGAGCCAGTGCATCATGCAGTTTATGCCACGGGCCTCGGCGAATGAGCACCCTGCCGTATTAAGTTACCTAGAGATCGCCCTTATTGCTTCTGCCCTTCGAAACACGTGCATCACGGACTTTTGAGGGGCAAAAAAAAGTGTTTTTACTTGCAAATTTTTTTAAAAGCTGTGTTTCATTTACTACGAACTTGGGGTACAGCGAACGAATGCTGCGTCACGCTCAGGTTCGTTTTAAGCGGGCTCGACTGTATTGTATTTATGTAAAAATCCGTAAACAAGAAGGCTTGCATCAAGCCAACATTTCAACAAGTAGACTTCTTTTTCTCGAGGCTGAAACTGAACTGTTGTGCTCCAGCCTTGAGAAAGACAAGTCAAGCTGTCGAAATGTCGGCCCGACACAACCCTTGTTTACGGATTTTTTCTTTATCGCAAGCTTCCATCTTCCCCCTTCTTGCCATTGTTTGGATACTGTGATCATGACACGCGAATGAAAAAAAATCGCGATGTGCTGCACACTATTGAAGCATAATAGAAATATAGAACAAAAGAGAATTATATCACCCACAAATAACCTGACCGTACTTAGTAGAGGAAGCTAATACAGTCACCGACCGATTTTTCGGACCTGGCGGGGACCGAAAAAAAGTACGAAAAATCGAACAGTCCGAAAAATTCGTTTTCGCCAAAAATCTGAAGTTTATTGCATCAGGCAGGTTTAAAAAAGTCCTTGATGCTGCCTTGCCTCAAACTACGCTTGGAGGCAATTTCTCCATCGTCATGGTCGCATACTTCCCACGCTTCTTTACACCACTTGGCTCCCGCGACGGCACAGATGGCGGAGCCATGGCACCGAGAACACAAAATTCGATGCCGCAGATAGCCGCTGCGAAGCACACAACGTCTCGACGCTACGCGACACAACACGTGCAGAATGGCGACTGAAAAAAGCTGCAACGACAATAAAAGAATCCTTCTTTCGTCTCCTCCCCGTGCGATGTGATGACGATAGTGCTGACCGAAGACGAAAAAACAGCATCCATCACCGCGTCTTTTAAAAAGCAAACAC